TACTTCGACCACATATTTTTGTTCTATTCTTAAACATGAAACCGCAACATTGTTTTAAGGTATGGTTTTTTATCCGAAAACTATTGCCACTAATGTTAGGCTATTCCTATTGCATATCGGATATTTTATCTATGTTGAAAGTAGTAAAAGGTGATGCCCAAATGAAATGTGACGTAAAATCTAAGACTGATGCTTACGTAAGAAACATATACTGACTTTAGTTTAAAATTAATAATTCATAACACAAACACTTTCATTCTTTGAAGTTGAAGGGCGCTCCCTTAAAAGTGATCGTTGGATGTTCGAGTGACTAGCAACCCCGTTGGTAGGGAGTTTGACAATAATTTGCGAAGATTATATCATCAATTTTTAGTAATTAACATACTACGCTGCTAATCGCATTTTTTTGTAGATAATTCGTTTTCCAATCGAGTGTTGAATAGAATTAATGATCATAAATCACTATCAAACTGTATTATCTCTAAGTACCTAAGCTTTCTGAAAGTCTGGAAACAATCTCTTTCCTTTATTGATTAGTTTGATTCCTAGGGGACCGAACGCGAATATATCTGATGATAAAATACTTACGTGCCTCTTATTTTTCCGCTTGACCCAAATTTAGTTTAAATTAAATTTTATTTGTGTTTAATCATAGGTATATAGTATAATACTATTGTACTTAACTTAGTTATATGTGGTACCTAATACTTTAGATTTCTTTCGTCTGTCTGCTTGGAATAAAATTTTAACGTAAGATATTACCACTACAGCCATACCTTACTTCTTCTGATGGACAAAATATGTAAAATAGAGTAGTATTAGTGTGTACAATGAACGTATACATACCCCCTAGCTTGGGCCGATGACTGTATCAGTAGTTGACACAACTCTTTTGTTTTCCATAGATACAGAAAAATCCAATTATTAAGGCAACTAGATTCCATTTACTTTTTGCTTCTAGCTTAATTTCTTAGTTATATAAGACTTTAAAGTATACCCCTTACTTTATGATGACCCCATACTTAAAAAACATTCCAGGACCGGATAGTGTGCATAGGTTTAAGCATTGAATAAAAACACTATTGTTTTTAATCAATGGTTTAAGCATTGGTTTAAGTCAATGGCTAATATCAAACCATCTCTCCAACTAACTGAAAGTTCAAAATCTATCGTTTGAGACCTAGATTAAAAAAAAGGTTGATTTGGATTGATATGATGACTATAATATCCGATGAATGTACAACCTCCACTACTGGTAAACGAAGAGCCCAACGTGCTAAACGTACTTGGAGGTCTTTCAGAGAATGTAATCATAACAAAGAGTGATGATCAGTTACTACGGTGAAGGTAATCGCTTCAAGATAATGTCGAAGTTGTTCTACCGCCCAAATGACTGCAAAGTACTCACGTTCCGTCGTGCTATAATTTTGTTCCGCTCGGAATTATGACCTAGATAAATAACAAACTACTCGCTCAGCATCTGGAAAAGTTTGGCTTAAAACGGCTCCTAGCCCATGTACAGATGCATCAGTCTGCAGGACAAAAGGCTTTGAAAAATCCGGGCAATTGAGTACCGGCCGGCACAGTAGATAAAAGATAAATTTTACCAAAGATTCCTCGCACTCACATGTGCATTCAAATTTAACGTTTTTCCTAAGAAGCTTTGTTAAAGGTGCAAAAACTGTGGAAAAGTCAGGAAAGAACCTACGGTACAAACCGCAGATTTATAAGAAAAGTAGGTAGTATATCTTCGGAGAATATCTAAGATAGTCTTGACTTTGTGAGAATTTGGAACATAACCTAAATATTTACGTTCTGAATAATAAAAATGACATTTGGTTTATTTTAAGATTAACCCAGCAGCAATTAATGTATCAAAAACAGTTTTTAAAGTTTGTAAATGTTAGTTAAATCCTGGGATATGATCACAACATTGTCTAGGTAAACCAAAACATTAGGTTGCAATTCAGGTCTTAAAATGGTGTCGATTATGCGATGAAAAATTGCAGGACCATTATTTAAGTCAAAGGGCATGCGTCGAACTGAAAAAGAGACCACGACCAAGTATAGTAAACGCTGTGTAGGGGCGTGATTCCTCAGCAACTTCGATTTGTCAATAAGATGACTTAATATCAAAGGGAACTAAGATACTTGGCATCTCTCGATTTTTCTAAGATGGTGCTAATATAAGGTAAAGGAAAGGCGTCTCGCTCAGACAAAATCTGTAGGTTTTTTGTCTTTGTTCGGAATGCCAATCCGCTGTTCGATGGTTCGATATCTCGATCCCAAAGCATTTCGTCGATATGGTCGTTGATGATCTTTTGTTTAATTGGTTTGACTGGAGAGTACCGTTGCTTGATCTAAGAGGGTTTGTAACTGGTTTTTTGACTAGTAAGACGAGACTACTCGTGTTATATTCCATTATAGCGACACTCGGTTGCGTTGGCGTGGAAGAAGTAGAATTCCAGCAGTCATCGCTAATATTCGGAATAATTCCCGTCATATCCCAAAAATCTACTCCCAGAATTAAATTAGTCGTAAATTAGGAATCACCAATAGATCCAAAAGGACAGTGCGATCCTTTAGGGTAATTGACACAGACACAGTAATGTAACAATAGAATGTGCATCGTAAGTTTGCTACCATACAAGTCGTTTGTCAAATAAATGTACATAAAACTAAGATTTTGTAATTGGGTTGAAATATCTGAATTTATGAAAGAGCGTGAAGCGCCAGAATCTAAAAGTGCCAGAAAAGAAATATGTAAAATTTAATTTGGACATGAGGTCGCAAATCATTTCCTACGTGTAACAAAAAGTAAAATTGGTTTTCGACGAAATGTTTAGAATTTTAGTCTCCTCGATAAACCTCGTGACGACTTAAAGAGCGTTTCTCGGGTCATTTCCCCTAACAAAAACCGCAGCTGCGTACCGTAACACCCTTGCGCCCCACTTCCAGCAGAACGATTGACTTGGTTCGGGGCATTCATCTCGATTATAGCCTAATCTCTGACAATTGAAGCAAGGAGAATTAGCAGTTTCCATCGCATGGAAAAATGAATTTAAAGTTTCACCCCCACTATCACCAGAACATTTCAAACCCCATTTATGTACCCGAGTATTTTGAACTGATAATCTAGGTTGAACTTCTGTAGTGCGTCCATATTGAAAATTATTAAATACGTGCCTCAAAACTCTTCGTAAATTAAATAATATTTAAGTAAAATTCCCAAAAGCAAAATAAAATAGCATCAATAATTGTTTCGATACTGAAAGCATTAGTATTCACAGATAATCGTAACAATCAATGCAACTACCGAGTTCAGGTGGATCATGCATCGGTAGGAATTATGGTAAATTATTGACCATGTTACGTTAACAGTACAATGCAAAATTAATCCCTTTAAGAGGTAGGTACTTAACGATACACTTTATAACACATAGAAGTAAAGGAAGGTCTCCCCTAAATGTTTCGGATGCTTATCTCATAGCCCAAGTGTCCTCACTACATGGTCAGTACAATCAATACAATGGCTTCAAAGTGGTCGTTATCTCTAGATGGAGCCATCTATCAAATCGCTTCAAATGTTACCGTAAACAATAATAATGCTTCGTAATGGAGAAAATAAATCGTTGCAATATATGTCCGATTTTTAGGGAGCTGCGAATAGAAACGTTGAAAATTATCGCTTACCCAAACTTGGCGTCCCGCGCTTCATATCCTAAAACAACGTCCTTTTTGGTAGTTAAATATTGTGACATGTCAAGTATAAGGTTCTTGAAAGTTAAGATCCATTATTGGATTTGCATTTATGTGTGCTCCTACAAAACCTAAAAAATCCGATTTTTTCAAAATATTTCAAAAACCAAAAAAATTGTTCAGGCATTTACTTCTTAAACGCTATCTTCTTAGATTTTTGCTTTTGACCTTTCTCCCATTTAACCAAATTTGTACCTTTCACCCTTTCTAAAATGCGCAAAGTGGCACCCCTTATCTCGGACACTGTATTTTAATACATATTATCAAACTGCTGATGCATTTCGAAATTAGTTTAATTTCAATTACCTATTTGTCACTATTTCATTTCATTAAATGAGGAATTACCCTGAGGATAGATTTATAAATGGGATAGCTAGCAAATCCTAACCCTTTAATTACTATTCTACTCACGTCAGATGCTTCCAAATCAATTTCTTACCACCTGACCTTATAGGTCACGTAGAGCCAATACCTTGGGACAGATATTGTGCAAAAGTAGTTACGTTAACATAAATTGGGAATATAGGTAGTTCCTCTGACTAATCACTCTTACTTTTTATTGTGCAAAAATGAACGATCGGGAAATGAAAAAAAAGCAATAAATGTTTTTTTTCAAATATCCATTTATTTATATAATACTCTTATTTAAATGAGACGCTTCGGTGTTAGTAGATGAATGAAACCGAAATCACTTGCTTGATAAAGTATCAACTGTAAACTGTCAGTTACACACTTGAAGAAAGTGTTACGTAAAATCTCGGATAAAGAGCTTAGTGTACACGATTCAAAGACAAACCGATCATTATCACTGCCTTTAATTGGGAATGTTTAGAAGTTTATCTTGCCGCTGACTCTGAATGTAAATGGTGGACGTATTTAAGCAAAGCAGTTCAATTCCCTTGTAGAGTTATTAATACCCACTAAATAGATTACCTCTGCCTATGGAAGTAAATAGTTAGCTGTAGAAGCCGAGACTTAAGGTTAATCCCCTTTGGAAGAGAATATAGGGGTTTAGTCGATACATCACCGGGTTCAAGCCAAAATTAACAGATCGTAACTTTGTGTTTCCAGCTCGAAAATTCCATTGCCATTATTGAATGTAAACAACCAGGAGCTCTGGAGGTGAGCGGTGTCATAGTGGTAAACTGTGGGGTAATTTGAGTTTGATTGAATTTCTATTTTAAGGATGTTATGTTTCTGACTTCCGGGTTCGACAGTTCATAAATAAATAACACTTCAGATCCAAACTAACATTTATTCTGCGAGAAAACTAAACTTGTATACAGACAAATTGTAAGTATAAACGACATTGTTGGACTTCCCGATCTTGCCAACCTCTATACACTAAAAATTCCTGAAATAGGTACATAACATTCCCTCCTTCTAAATCAAACTTACAAATTTAATCTATCCGGAGCTCTTATAGTTCTAGTTGAACGTCTCAATGGTATCTCAGGTGTGCCAGTGTAATCTGTATCAGTATTTACTTTAATTTCATTTTGTATTTCTTCGCTTACATTAGGTTTTATTTTTTTATTAGGTTCTGTGATTTCTGGAAGATCCGAGTTACCATTTTGGACATTCTCACATGGTTTACTTAGTTGTATAACCTTAGGTATATTTAATTCAATAGTTTCGGGCATACTGGTCATTTCTGAGTTCACGTTTCTCTTTCTCAAATCATCCGCGTGATACACCTTGAATAATCCCCCAACATCCACCAAGTATGTAACCAAACTTAATATCTTTATAATAGAACCTTCAATCCAATTTGGAGAGCCTTTATTATTTTTGATATACACCTTCTCTCCTTCGCAAAACAATTTAGTTATAGGGGATGTTGTTTTATTTGAGGTTTTTGGGTTTCTCCAATTTCCTGGTTTAATGAAATCTAATCGGGTACGTGGTTTTTGTTTAAAAATACACTCTGATGGAGTCATACCAGTAACAGTACTAGGAGTGTTTCTATATGCAAATAGTAAATTTGTCAATTGCTGATTAATTGTCAATTTCGATTTATTATTGTCAAACAACTGTTTCGACAGTAATTTTTTTACAGTTTGCACATTTCTCTCTGCCGCGCCGTTAGATTGTGGATGGTACGGTGGAGTTTTAACTGGCTGGATACCATTTGCAAGACAAAACTTACTAAACTCAGAAGAATTGAAGGGAGGACCATTATCACTAACTAATTGTAAGGGTAATCCCAACATAGAAAAAGTTACCTTCAATTTTTCGATGGTTTGTAGAACATTTGTACTAGACATGAGATGAATGTCTAAAAATTTTGATTTACTATCCACAATAATTAAGAATGTTAGTCCATTTTTGTGAAAAAAATCTATATGAACACGCTGCCACACATTATCTGTTGTTGGCCAAGAGTGCAACGTACGCTCAGATCCACTATTTTGAAACGCTTGACATACCGCACAAGAGCTGATTACCTTAGTGATATCGTCAGATAACCCAGGCCACCACAATGCAGATCTCAACAACATTTTTGTTTTTACGATACCAATATGTTGTTCGTGAACCAACTCTAAAACCTTAGATCTCAGCAATTCTGGAATAACAACTCTAATACCCCATAAAATACAGTCATTGTTAATGGATAGTTCATTTCGCCTAACCCAAAATGGTTTAAACTGTGGACTTGATTCCAGACTTGGCCATCCGTTTTTAATATAATCAAGGATTTTTATCAATGTTTGATCTTTCCTTGTCGCATTTGCAATATCATTAGCGGACATAGGAATTTCATCAACTAAATTGAATGAATTTACTCCTAGATCAATATTAGTGCCATTGGGTAGCGGCAAACGTGATAAGGCATCTGCGTCAACTAAATCTTTACCCTTCCGATACTCAATTTCATAATCGTAAGCTGATAATATTAGTGACCAACGTACCATTCTAGCTGATGCAGTAATTTGAATTCCTTTCTTAGCATTGAATATACTTAGTAAAGGCTGATGATCAGTAACGAGAGTGAATTTCCGCCCATATAAATATTTATGAAATCTTTTCACTGCAAATATAATGGCTAGAGCTTCTCTTTCGACTTGAGCATAATTTCGCTCTGCCTCAGAAAGAGTAGCGGATGCATACATGATAGGTCGCTCGGAACTATTTACACGGTGACACATAACTGCGCCCACACCATACTGACTCGCATCACAAGTAACATAGATAGGTTTAGTCGCATCGTAATGCACGAGAATATTATTATCTAGAATCAATTTCTTACTTAGTTCAAACGCTTGTTTACACTTGATACCCCACAAAAAAGAAACCTGTTTTTCTAATAACTGATAAAGTGGACGTAGCTGCGTAGATAACATAGGTAAAAATTTATTGTAAAAATTTAATAAACCCAGATACGACCGTAATTGTGTTATATCTTTGGGCTCAGGAGCGTTTATGATAGCTAAAACCTTTTCCTGTGTAGGATGAATACCCTCGGCATCTAACACATGCCCTAAATAATTTACAGTGTCTACAAAAAACATACATTTGTTGAGGTTTACTTTTACATTATACTTTTCTAATCTTGATAAAACTTCAGCCACTTTTTCATAACAGGAACTCATGGTATCCCCATAAATTAAAATATCATCAATATAACAGTGTACATTTGACAATCCCGACAATATGCAGTCCATTACGGATTGAAATACTGCAGGTGCTGTAGATATACCATACGTAAGTCTGTTAAACCGGAAAAGCCCCAAATGAGTGCTTATAGTTAGTAGCTCCTTAGATGTATCGTCTACTTTTAATTGTTGAAAAGCACCAGTAAGATCTAAGACTGTAAAAACTTTACCTCCTGCCAAGGATGCAAATATATCCTCCGGATTTGGTAAGGGGTGATGATTTGTTTCCAAAACACGATTTACTGTGACGCTAAAATCACCACAAATTCAAAATTCACCATCCTTTTTTGGAACCACCACAATAGGTGATGCCCAATTGCTAAATTCTACACGCTCTAAAATACCTGTGCTGACCATTGCTTTTAATTTAGCTTCTACCTTAGGTTTTAGTGCATATGGCATCGAGTATGCTTTTCTAAATATAGGCTGACTAACCTTAAGTATTAAACTAACACAAACATCATTGATACACGACAATAAATTTCCATCAAAGACCTTTTCAAACCGTTTCTTAATAAGTGTTTCATAACTTCCTCTAGTTGCTAATGTACTTTTATCACATTTAACCTGATTTACGACACAAAATTTTCTTTGCCACTCAGGCCATAACACATCTAACCAATTTCGGCCTAACAAAGGAATAAAAATTTTCTCTGAATTAATTACAGTTATAGGCAACAATAACATTTTTTTCTTAAATACTGCATTAACCTGAATTTCACCTAAAGCTGTTACTTCCTGACCTGTGACTACATTTAATCTATAACCAGCTTTTCTCAATTTCAAGTCTTTAAATTTTGTATCAAAAATACTAACGGGTATTATTGTTTTGCATGCTCCCGTGTCAATTTCAAATTTCATGCTTTTACCTTCTACTAATAAAGTAGTTATGCACGGACACTCGACTTTATGTAATTCTTGTACATGCGCTAAAGGATATAAATCGCCTGACAGTAGTTCCTCTTCGGACTGTACCTCTTCCGTAGAGTTTTCCTCGATGGCTTTGGCTCCATAAGTTTTATTTCGACACACGGTGGATGTGTGCCCCTTCCTTTTACAAGCATAACATTCCCAATTGACAGCTGGGCAATTGACTGGGTTGTGAAATCGACCACACCTAAAACATGACTTACTTGTCGCTTGAGACTGACTAGGCTGCGACTGGTGTTTAATGCGAGACTGACTTGACGATCCACTTGACGACCCACTTGACTGGTATTTATTTCTAGTGGTATCCCGACTCTTCTGATTAAATTTATTGACAAATCCATGATCCATAGACTTCGCTTGCTGCTCGGCCAGTTCCATTGCTAATGCATCGGTACATGCCATTTCAAACGTAAGACTTTTCGTCGATAACAACTTCTTTTGAATGTCCTTTCGCCGCAATCCACAGACTAATTTATCCCTACATGCGTCATCCCAGAATGTACCAAAACTGCACGTACTTGCGAGATTTCGAATTCGTACGATGAATTCTCCCACGGATTCTGCTTCGTTTTGATTTGCGGAGTGAAATTTATATCTTTCCGCGATCGTTATCCTCACCGGACTGAAATGCTGTGATAATTTATCCACCATTTCTTTATATGACAAATTTGCTGGTGATGTTGGTGCTGAGAGATCTTTCAGGATACTATAGGTTTGACCTCCAATTAAGGTTAGGAACAGGGGAACTTTTCTATCATCCGGGACATCATTGCATAAAAAATATTGTTCCATTCTCTCTTTATATTCCTCAAAGTTGCCTGTTTTAGGATTGTACTGCTCAATTGTACCTACTAACGAAATCATTTCTTTGTTTTCCCGCCACGCGACTTGACCGACACTTATGACCTTTGACGTATTTGGACCTACGACTGTTCACTATTACAATTTACCACTATCTCGTCGCCAATTCTGTTATGTTTCTGACTTCCGGGTTCGACAGTTCATAAATAAATAACACTTCAGATCCAAACTAACATTTATTCTGCGAGAAAACTAAACTTGTATACAGACAAATTGTAAGTATAAACGACATTGTTGGACTTCCCGATCTTGCCAACCTCTATACACTAAAAATCCCTGAAATAGGTACATACATGCAATATTTACTTTATTACTCAAATGTGATCATTGTTCATAATTAGTTTAAATCTTGCACTGTTGTTTACAATGGACTGTGTCACGTTCATCGGTGAATGGCAGAAATTAGTGTCACAATGAATTCAAAATGAATACCTTTCTCACAGTTTCGGATAGAAATACAATTACCCTTCGTACATTGCATGTAACAGGTGGCAAGCAAAGTATTCTCCTTGCCCAGAAGTTGTCGAAAATGAATATTCGGGATTGACTGATCTCTGTTACAACGGTTTCATATTTACACCTACATATGTGTAACCGTTTAAATTAATTTGAAATGTTTGGGGTATTTCATAATCTTTATAAGAATCGGTGAAATTCTCTAATTCTAATCGTCGCACAAAAATGTAAAACCTTGCCCACTTAATTATAGACAATAATACAAAGCTAATCATGCAAAGCCACTTGCACTGGAATAGTCCGTATAAGCATTGAATAAAAATAGTGTTTTTTATTCAATGGTATAAGCGATCATGTTGGGTAACCTCGAATCAAATTCATTAAAACCAAAGGAAGAGATAGTGGGATGCACATAAATAGATAAGGTAATACATAAGTTGAGCAAGATAAAACCAGCGTTTGAGGAACTGAATTAAAAGGAGTAAAGGGGTTTTATGTTCACCTTCCAAGCATAGATGAACGTTCCAAATGTTGAATTCTTCCGCAGATTGCTACCGAAACTAAACAAGTAGGTGCATTTAAAAGTGACGTTAATCCCTTTTAATGTCGACATTAGGGGAGCTTTTTACAGAATGACTGTCATTAAATTAACGACGGCGCGTCTCACATAATTTAAATGAATGGGTAGGAAACTGTGATAATGAACCATTTTACTGTGTAGAGAAATTATGCAATTCCAAAATTAAAACTCATTAACACTCCACTCCAGTCCTGATAACTAGAATCTGCAGTTCAGCGAGTTACACGTTATGACATCCTAAAAAAGAGATTTGCTGCGATGTATGCAAAATATCGACGCGAACAGGCTGAAAATACTCGTTTGAAGTCATTTGCAAGGCTTTTTGTGTAGTTTTTTGTATGTGAAACATTAATAACGTTGCACGCACGTAGATTGTAATCTTAACACAGTGTTTTTACAATTCCTATTTGAATTATTGTAAATGCAAAGATCCTTTAGGGTCATTACCGATGATTCTCACGGTGATTACCTAACCGCTTCATAAATTATTAAATTGACAAGGCAGCAGAGCGAATTCGAATTTCTATTCACGAAATGTCAATTGATCATTGTTTAGAGATCAATGAGATGTAAAATTTAAACACGCACGATTTGTAGTGAACAAATTTCATTCTAGTAGCTGTGGTGTCTAATTGCTTATTCCTTTGCTATATCCACTAAAGCGCTTGCTTCAAAGGATAGACAAAAGGCCACTAGTGGAGAATTCAGTTGAACCGTATTACAGTCTTATTTCATTTACTATAAAGCGCCTAAATGAGGGCACTTCCACAATATTTAACATTTTTTCTGAATGAGAGCAAAGCAACTAATATTTTGAGCAAATGAAAATATTCCCGATTCCTTTTGTTACATATGCCGAGCTCTTTCAAATAAAATAAAACGGTGAGCTGATTTCGTTCGGTGCCGCAATGTTCAAGGCGTTTTATATCTCAACAGATAAAATGTAATATTACCTACTGTTTGAACGAAATCGCAATTTCATCCTAAAAATTAACACGCAAAAGCTACCAGGTTACAGAATTATGTTTGATAATTGTATTAAAAGTAATTAATGGACAAGTCGCAAGTTTACAACTACGTATTCTACAGGTGACCAGATGAAACGCTGTAATTATCACAATTTCTTTAAGGCAGCGCAGCATTCGTGAACCGATGGAATCCTCATCTAGGTTTTTATAAGTAATTACGAGCACCTGCAGCAAAGAAACAAACAATCGAGATGTAGGTGAAGTAATCAAAACGAAAAAGAAGGGGAGAACCCTAAAATTGAAATGTTAGTGGCTAGACCCGTGACACGTAAAACTCTTCGAAAGAGTGGAAGAGAATCGTAGCTTCAATCTATTTTTTACTTTTCCTTTATCATTAACGGCGATCGCAATTAGTAGTATTCTGTCAGATGTTATAGTTTTTAGACGATTGAACAATTTTTTAAAAGTCTTCATCGCCTTTTACAGGACTTTTTCACAACAGACATTATAACAATGCCGAAGATGAGAGCGAGTCACCTTGTAGTATAAAAATACATGTTGTTAACGTAATTTCTATCTGAATAGGAAATAGCAGACAGGACAGCCTGTATGTAACATAATCCAAGTTATTTCATAATACCTAGGAATTTTTTTTCAATTGGACATTTCAAATAGACACAGAATTGGAAACTTTGTTGAACTGTCATTTTAATATTAGTTTTTTTCGATAATTATTTAATTCATTTAATTCCATTTGTTGTACGAGTATTTAGTTTGTCTGATAAATTTAAAACGGGTAATTAAGGGACTATTAATCAAAATGTTTATGTTTTTACCTGGTCAGGTGTTGTTACCGGGCAAGAACTAATTATTTTTTTACAAACTATGTCACATGCTAGATAAGCGATACAGGTGTTCTATCAGTTCTGGTGGCAAAGAGGAATGTCGTGCGTGTCGCTTGGTAAATAAAGTTGTTGAATTTGTTAGCGGGGGTGGTTTTTGCTTAAATAGGGAGAATGAAGAGTAAACGAAGTTGTATTGGGTTATTTTGAAAGACAGCGTAAATCTCTGTGACGCTAATTTTGTTACCGGTAGTCCATCTGGATACGCTGTTTTAAAAAATAAACGCAATCGTCCTCGTGTTAATCTGCGGAAACAGGTTTAATGTTCTGCAAGAGGTTTCTACGCATGGAATTTCGAGTTTAAAAAGTTGGTGTTATAAAGAATGAAGAAATAATTGGTGTAATACAAGAGAAATCTTACCACCCGAGCAGCCACAAAAGTTAACTGTTTTTGTCTTCGAGCCAGTTGTGATGTATTAAAATTTTTTTGTTTCTGTAGAAACGGTCAGATTAGTGATAAAGTGTGCATTTCGATCAACATTGCATAATGCATATTTCTTGTACTGGTCAGTTTATTTGATTATGATTAACAGAACTGTAAGAAATTTTTCAGAACACTTAATTTGTTTTTAGGTCGACCGTTAGAAACGAGGTGTGTTGTATTCAAAAGGCACCGGTGACCCTCCAATGTTTCTTACAGGGTTCTTTTGTATTTCATTTTCTTTTCATGATGTGTGTTAAAATAAATTCTTGCAATTTTGTTTTATGTGTCAATTTGAAATCAATACCTCTAGGAGGTATCAGGTAAAGGAAGTATCAGAAGCCTTCTCCACCAATTATATTTCAGGTGCTCTTCAGCAAAGAAATAACCCGACCTGGGTTGACTTGAACAGGAATTAATAGCTCCCAAATAAGGTCGGCAAGGATTTACCTGGCGACGGCCCTTACAGAGGAACTTCCACCCGGTTCTAACAACCTCTACTCAAAGTCGGTGGAATCAGACGGCAAACACGGAAGGGAAGATCTTTGGATTCCAGTCCGGTCGACCGACCGAAGCCAAGAATACAAAGAACTAGTTCTGTGTCCGGTTTTATAAGCCCGCAAGGATTTACCCTACCAGGATTATCTTCCCAGTACCTCTCTGGAAGTCGTTCCAGATACGGCAAATCCTAAACTGGAATTATGACATGTGTAGCTTAAAGGTTAATTTGAGATCAAACTTGTATTTTTGTAACTCGAAAACTAAGATTTAAGATTTCTTGATGTTTGTTTAATTTGTAATCGAACGATTTGTGGTCACAGAAGTCGTGTGTTTATCCGATCTCTTTAACGATTCAGAGAAAAGTCTCATGCACAATTACGATTAATTTTGTTGTTCCGCGTCCGAATTTCACTTTAAGTGCTTTCAAAATTTTGGGTAAGTGACGTTTTTGGAGATTCTGATTTTCGGACTAAGACCGTCTATTACAATCTAAAAGACTCACAGAGTTCAAAACAAAATGTTTGTAAAGAATATTTTTGAGTACTCTGGGCTACGAAACAAAAAGAGTAAGAGATGCACTGAATACAACCCTTACTTAAACAAGGTCTCACTACCAAACCTGGCAAAAGGAACATAAGAGGTTGAAATTTGATAGGAGTATAATTAAGAAACAACAATTTCCAATTACAGACGGAATCAGTACACTCAGGTTATGTTTAAAAGAGAATACCTATCAAACTGTGTTTGAAGATGAAAGCATGGACTTCTTAAATGCAATATTAGCATTTATTTATTTTATGTATATATTTATTTTTCAAAAAAACGTTTTTCCGTCCGTCCATCCGTGTGATGGATGAGATCTCGACACTGGAAACTTGTACAAAGTTCGTTAATGTCTCGTTTGATAGACATTAGTGCAGTAAGACAGGTTTTTGTTCCTAATCATTTTGAAACGATGCACACATTTGTACAAAATGTTTAATTATTCACCAATTTCGTCGGGGGATACCTGTATGACAGAAAAATGTATAAACAGATTTATTATTATTATTTATTTATTCATTTTTGGTCTTTATTGTTGGGTGGGCTCTTAGTCGAAACACTTGAATAGCCATCACGTAACAAATACGAGTATTTTTTATGTTTAATCAAAAAGCGAAATATTTGGATCGGAAAGAAGCTTATTTTGAAATATATTCCTCTTTTGCAATAATTGTGGCCTGAAACGATAAATCATTTGCTGTAAGCAGTGTAATAATATGATTACATGTTTGTAATAAAACGCAAATGTTAAAACCAATTTGTTTTGTTCCTTATAATGGATTATTGTAATCAAGAAAATAAGCAGAGCAGGTACATTTTCGTTGCTTGGAGCGGACGCACATCGTATTAAACCGCTAAATAAGTACATGATAAGAACGCAGATACAATAACGTTTTTATCGACTGAAAATGCTACATTGGAGTGCAATTTCCTCCGATATCGGGAAAGCATTTTGCGCAGTATATGTAACTACTGCCATAAATGATTTATCTCAAATAGGGAGTTATGAAAAGCCAACATTTAATAAACACAAATTATATACTTTCAAATGCACATTCTGATGGATTAAAGTGTGTGCGATAATATTTTTTAGGTTTTCTCTTTTTCCAATCAATATTTGAAGTTTTACTGCAAGAAATGGTCGATCGTCGGCACTCAGCAATATGTAAATTAAAGCATGCGGAAGAAACCAATAGATTAAATTCTGTCACTTAAATTGATGGGGGAGAGGAGAGGTAAGACATTTATTTAATGGGCACTTTCCACTTCAGCAGGTGTAATTTAATTATAGGTCGTTCCAGAGGGATAACTTCAGCAATCGTCATGCAGATTAGTTTAATTTTAATGTGATTTCACAAGTGGGGTGGTTGGTAATTTTGTTTAGAAATACAGTTTTCCTTAGGCTAGCGAAAAAGGGTCGTTTTGAACGTACCTTGCAAACTGAAAATGTATTGCTATATAATTACAAAGAAGAGCATCTGAGAACGTTCTAATTATGTTTAGTTTTGACAATAATTTCAAGTAGGTACCTAACCGTATTAGTGCTCAATAAAAATTAGTTAGGTTATCAACTAGATTGTTTCTATTAAAACTCCCACAAAATACAATTGCTAGCTATGTAAACAATTTAATTACAGAAGTCATAGACGGATACGGCAAGAAAATAACGTTATATAATTTCAGTAAATTATGGTAAATTTGATTATACTGTAGATAATACACACGTATTAAATTTGGCAACGGTTTGTGGCAAATTATATTCATATGAGACGATTGTTTTAAGCCAAAACATGGGTTACAGTTATGTTCTTCGAGGGGTATACAACTTCCTTGCAATGAAAGGCTATAGGAGTAACCATTTTTACTTTAATAAATTGGATTTTATGAACACTAAGCTTATAGGGAAACATGTACATCATGTTTACCTCGATAATTACCTAAATCATTGCAGGGGAGGCTGATGAGCTTAATAGTTGTAATTATGTTCTATTAAAGATACTTAACTACCGAAGGTTCGGTAAGACTGCTCATTGGTTATACTTACTTACGCGTATAATACCTCTTGAAAATAATAAGTTAAACTCCTATAAACTGCGAGGCAGAGAATAGGTCACTATTCTTTAATGTCCATTATTTACTTCCGCATTTCTCGGTAAGAGTTATTAAAAAAATTAACTACCTATTAGTCTTTTTTATACAAAGTGCAGAATTTGAAACTTTTGTTATTACTGATTTTCGAAAATTGTGTGAAGGAAAAGTTATACCTGGAATTTTTCTTAAATGTATACATATAGCCTATTAAGTATTATACTTAAACAAGTAAAAAGGTTCTTGCCCTAAGGCGAGTAACTTCAGCGTATTTTCCATGAATGATCAGTACTTTCCAAAAGGCCATAGCTATGTGCGCTGTGATTTTCTTTACTAGAGGCATATATAGTTAAAATTTCAAAGAAATATCTTGATAAATGAAGAAGTTGGCACTGACTGTGCATGCGCATACCTAATTTTTGCAATATCAGGTATGTTTGCCTTTAACAGAAGCATCTGTGATTAAAATTTCAAAAAGATATCTCGATAAATAACAGTTGATATTGCGCATCCTTATCTCGATAAAATACAGTTGATATTACCCATCCAGCGCATGCGAACATTAAACTGATGTTTACAATATGCAATACGTTTGCTTACACTAAAAGCAACTTTGGTTAAAATTTCAAAGACATATCTCCATAAATAAGAAAGTTGCCATTGCGCAGTCTAATTTTTACTATATGTCATATTTTTGAAACTTTGTCAACGGTATACAATGCGAATAAGTTACTTTCTTAATACTTACGTGAACTCCGCACGAAGTGCCATTTTCGGAATTTTTTTCAAAATGAATTAGTTGACATTATTAATGGTAAAATAAGTCAAAAATATTGGACAAAATCTTACGAAAAAGAAAATGTGAGAAAAACTCTCACGCTTGAAATCTCAAGAAATACCTTAATGACCGATTACTGCAAGGTACGGAGAAAATATTTAACACGGTTTGAAAAAATTCCTAAATTTCGCAACTTTTGCACCATGAGTGATAATATAATCAATAACATTATTTGTGAAACACAAAAATTTGGTTATTATAATTACGAGTATACACAAAGTGAAGCTATAGTATGGTCAATACATACTTATGCAAAGTAATTTTTATCGTGCCAGTACAGACATATAATAGGAATGGATAAATGGTGCGCAAGTAGAAATATACATTGTGCCTGTGCGTAACTACTAAATATGAAAAAGTAATATGCCAAGATGAAAATAGCTATGTAGGTAGGTCTAAAAACCTAATTTACAGAAGCCGTATAGCGCAGTTTGTGATAGCACCCTAAAGACTGAGCAGCAGCATTGAATCTTATTTTCTTTGCATCAGACACTCGTACGCTGAATTAAAGTTACACTACAATGGACTTTTCTCGAACGTGCCTTGATGTAGGCTGTTGTATTCATAATTTAAAAATGGAGGGTAACAAAGGGATGTATAGCGAGGACGAGAGTCTTAAGTCATCTTAGTTTAGATAATGTGGTGCAATACTACTGGAGTACCGCCTGTTTTATTAAAAAAAAAGGTATTGAAGACCTAAAAGTCAACAGGGTAGGACTATTTAGTTGGTAACCTCGCCAGAAACCACTCCTATGGGATTGATTTTTATTTCCGCTTCATTTTTTCTTGTATATTAGTGAAAGCTGGAATGCAGAAGTGAATTAAATTGTAGTATATACCTACCGGTTGAGGGGAAATGATTGTGGATAGTTCGAATTTCCCGCAAAACAAATAGTTATTTACATAAAATCCGGAAAATAACACATTACTGGCGAGGAAATAATGAAGTACGAGGCCCCTTTGGGGCCGAGTACTTTAGTTTCCGAGTCAAGTAATGTCATTTTACTGACGAGTTTTGTATTAAATTTTACTCGAAATCGCATTTTATTTATATAGATCTTTTGATTAATGTCAATCGGTCAGTGATGACAGGAGTCATTATAGACGTTTAGCAATGTCACAGATGCGGCCGGTAAAGTGACGTTGCTGCCGGTAAAGTGACAGGTGCGGCCAGTAAAGTGACAAGCTGCAAGAAACGTAGTCTGCTCTGCCGCTCTCATGGAAACTAAAATTTCATGACAGGAAGTAGGCATGAAAATGAAGGTTTCATGACGATTTTGGGTAATTAAAGTTGATAACATGTCATATGTTATTTATTTAAAAGCAGCGGTGGATAAATTTAACGGATAACTAAATAATACCTAATCAATATTAAATAATTAAAGAAAATTAATTTGTGTGACCTATACTTTTCGATATAAATCCTGTAAATTTTATTGTTATCGGATGCAGAATAAAAAGTTGCATATGAACCCTACTAAAAAACTGAAGGTTTTATTCGAAAAGTTAAAAAAAAATTACAATAAAAATACTTGATACGACGTTAAAAAATTCTACATTTGTGAATACCGACACAACCCTAAGCCTGGTTACAATGAAATAAAAATAATGGGGGGTGTTATCAAATAAATTTAAATAGCAAACGTGTCGCCCAAATCTGAGATTTTATTGGAAATAGTTTTTGTTTAAATATATTCTATTTGGCTTTTTTCCGTATTTATCTGTAAATGTAAACAGTGAAAACAACTGCGGACATATAAATATACATAAGTTAATTACGCGTGTAGATCAAAATAAAAAAAATTTGCTGCGGAAGGAAAAAAATAATGTTTAAAGGAGTGCTTAAGAAAAAAGACTACAAAAAGTTACTGGAAAAGTAAGAAAAAGGATTAAATTTAAATTTGTAGTATAAATCAAATTAAACTAAATTGAATAGCGACATAAAAAAACTTAATTTTCTAAGCTTGTAGCATAAATTTTAATTAGTTTAATAGTTTAAGATATTAGTCCATTATTTTCTTTTTTTCGGTTCCTGCAGAACACTAGGCTGTTGACCAAAGTAGTTCTTCATAATATCATCGACTACTTTATCTCTCATACCGTACGCTGTATACATCAATTCCTTCGATTGATTTCTACAACCTTTAAAAAATGAAAAATATTAGTACTTACTCAACGCGCAAAATATAATATAAATATATTGCTGTGTGCCCCACGTTGGGCGCCAATTAAGAATGCTGTGTACACTGATCTGTAGGCTAGAAAGAGCGTACACAAAACACCACAGCAAAAACCTAGCTACCTCTTTACCTTTACTTATTAACACGGCACAAAACTTCGCCCTAGTACAGAGGAGAGATTCGACTCTGCTCTCAGTTAACTTGTTAACTTCTAACAGATAGTGGGTCAAACCAAATACCTTAAACTCCAAATTAAACTGCAAAATTTTGAATAATTAAAATCGAGCTTGGGCAAGCATCCAAAAAAAAAAACAACAGGTAAATTAGGAAAGACGTCGTTGTGAATGAAACACACGGAAATTAATGTGAAAATTACAAAAGTGCGATTTAATCTTAACACAAAAAGGAAAATGGTACAAAAACAAACAATTATTACAAATTGATTAAAATTAAGACTTAACTACTTACATTACTCGTCCGAGAATTGTAATTCAAATAAAAAGTATCCATACATAGTACACGAAAACAATTTTCAATGAACACACTTTATACTAACGACCAGGTAATCGCAGCATCTTCTCTTCGGGTAGACAAGGACGTTCCAAATAAAAAAAATCTCAACTTCAAACTGAGTCATGTTGACAACACACTTATGGGACGCCGACAAACACCTCTCCTTGCAGCACCTTAGATGGCCAAAACTTCAAAATGTAGAACAAACAATTAGCCGCGAATTTGGCTTCCGGCTTCACACACGAAACTTTTTCAAACTTTACACTCACATTAGACGAAACCTTTTAATACTGGTTGTGGCTTCAAAGCAAATAATCATCGATGGAACTTGCAAGAAGCGAGTAACTGATAACTCGGTACTGAACGTAGCAAAAAACCGAATTGAAAACTTCAACGAAACGTAGTACGGCGTAAACTGGCAAAAAGCTGATTTCAAAACTTCAACGAAACGTAGGTAACGCTGCTCTGAACGTAGTAAAAAAACTGATATAAATTTTCAAAGAAATGTAGTTCCGCGTTGACTATGGCAAAAAGCCACGCTTTTCTTGTTTACGTCCTATTTACGACGAGACCCTTCTTCCGAAAATCAAAATTATAACAACCAATCATACACACAAACCACCAGAAAATTATATAAATTAACCAGAATTTTTAGCTGATTCACAATACAGAAATAGTAAAATCTATTTTTATTCCAGAATTATTTTACTATCCTGAACTAAATTAACCAAAGACACACTTAATTTAATACACACTTAAGTTAATAATTTTCTTGTGGTTTGTTCTTTGGCGAGAAACCTTGTACACTTTATAGACTAACTGGATAGTATACAAGCTAACCAATATTCGTAGCTATTTTAGTGAAACGATGATTTCCCATTAAAATAACTATACAGTTGGATAGTTTACATACTATCAGCTAGTCTATAACATATTATGTATTGTAAATATAAAAATGTTAATGTTGTTCTTGTCACTACTTTACTTTATCTCGTATGTATGAATATTTTTACTGTTATTACGAAATACTTCTTCTTGCCGGTATTCCCAAATAGCAAATAGTTTATATTATTCCTTAGTAAATAAATAATTTGTGATGTTTCGCCGCGCCCAACTTCATGCAAACCGCATAGCGGTGGTGACGCACATGTAATAACCATAAGTGTACTTCGGTGAAATAACGTATCAACTGGTGTATCAAAAACTAATTCCATCATTGTTTACATCAATCTATTTAAAAACGTTTTCCGCCAATCGTTTGTTTATAGACTTATTAATGCATGAATGCATAATTTGTCCTGAAAAATTTTTGAATTTTTACAACTATTTTTGTATAGGCAACCAACCTATCACATCTGTCAGTTCTCAATAAGAAATGAATGTGAATGAATGCAATCAAATAATGCAAAGTACATAAATTCTTAAAGAAGCAGATTTATATTTTATTATTCGTTGGATTTATTAGCATTTGTTTATTTAAACGTGAAAATCAAAAGTAACTGAGAGTACAATAAAATATGTATATCAATTGCATTTGTTTTCTTAGGTAACCTTATACCATAATATCTGTATTATACTATGCTTATACTATGCGATCAAAAATGAGTTGCTGTCGAGTCACCTTTGGAATGTCTGTTTCCATGGGAAATCGTACTTAACTTGAACTTCCAAAGGCGACTCGACAGCAACTCATTTTTGATCGCCCGTTATAGAACATAGAAGCGCTTTTTAATTTAGGGACAATAACTTAGAATACTCATTTTCATTTTATTTTTCAATTTCCACATACAATTGACGGAAAAATATTGTAACCATCTCGTGCGTTAATTGGCGGCTCGACTGATTAATTAATTAAACTTGCAGTTTCAATTGTTAATCGCCCTTATTAACGCACTTATTGGTTAAATAACTATTATAAACAAGTGCTAACTGACTCGATCAACATTGGTTAATTAATATAAAGTGTGTTATATATTAAACCAAAGAGTATTATAATACTCTTTGATTAAACTTAACTAAATTGGAGTAGTCGGTTTCACATTTTTAGGAATGAGTAAAGGTTCACTTAAATCACGTTGTTTTAACCCATACATAAGTTGTCTTATGTATGTTTTAACTTGTACCATTGATTATACAGTTAGTGTGTATAATCAATGCCCGTACCAAAACATTATTTGTACTCAATACCCTTACTAATACCACCGACAACATAGTATATGTTGTCTGTGCTAATGCGAATGGGGCGTTATTTTGTACTCAGTTTGTACTTATTTATACAGCCAATCAGCCCTGTGAGGTATCAAAACCGTCAAAATTAACTTGCAGGTTATCTGCCAAAAAACGTTAAAATGCGTTATTTAGTATAGGCAAAATTACATTTTTGACAGATAACATGCGCGTTAAGATGACGTTAGTAATACATCACAGGATTGAATTTATCCAATTTTGTACAAGTATATGCATACATACAGATTCATATAAATTCGTGTACCGTCAAGTTATACCTACTCATCTTGTACTGATATAATCAATACTTAACAGATTTAGTACCGCTGCATTTCAGAAATTAGCAGTAAACTTCTTTTGAAGCTTAACATCACAACATCAATATGTCTAATTCATAAAAATTGGATGCCATAATTCGGTTATCGGTGAATAAAAGGTATGCTGCAAGCCGCAACACCAAGAATTTAACATCATGAAATACTTACCTTGTACCCTCAGAAGGTATTAGTTTGGTAGTAATTACAATTCTAAAATCGCCCTTTTCTTTTGCTGACACCACGGGAAGCATTGATGAAGATTGCTTAAAGTAGTGATTCCCAAAGTATTTTGGCTCAGAGTCCTCGTTTCCAAAATGAACGCCCCCCAGATCACCATTACCATATTCCTTTAAAAATCCGAGCACGAGTTTTCCATCTGGTACGAACTTGTGTAGGTACGCTTATCGACTTGTTGAGTTTTTTCAAAAGACAACGCCGATTGGGTCCCAGATGTTTTGCGGTCAACAATTCCGGAAGTGATCAATTGAAAAGGTATAATTTTTCGAATTAATATCGTCAATTTTACACTTTCAAATAAACTTTTTATGAAAACAGAACTTTTCTCTAATGTATAATAAGATAACCACAAGTAACCATAACGAAATAACCATCCTATTATCATACCATTATTTTCAGAACGGCCACGTTATTATTTCAAAACTAAATACTTATATAGCTAAATATTTAAATGCCCGCCATTTCGAAAAAAAGTCAAGTCACTGGTTATATTTTATACTTTTATCTTTGCATTATAAACATTTTTGCAAATTGCATTGAAATAACAAAGCTATAAATTTTTAAATGAAAAATACAACTTTCAAGTGCCATCTCGGGTTTGGACTGATTTCCTGGACCGCGATTAATGGGGATTTTAAATATGTTAAAATAGACACTTTTCACATTAAAATGCAAAAAGAATCATTTGTGTTGCAATTTTGCCCAAGTCATAGGAATTTTTACACCATTTTGCTATACTACAAATTGTAAATGCAAGCAGTTAGTTTTCAATGTTTATCGGTTGTAGGCGGTATAATCGTCCTTAAATTGTCAAAAAGTTCGCTTGTAAACAACATCTTAACCACATTGATATATAAAATGACAAGTGAGTATGTTAATATGACAAATGAGTAGTGTAATATTTTACCATACCATTAAACAATACTATAGTTATAACGTTATTAGAAATGGTTCTGTTTCGTATGTTGTGGTCTCAAACCCATATATTTTTTGACGATTTCCACATAATTAATGGAGTCCTGTGGGATGACAATGAAAAATCGAGGTTTAGGTATAGGTTTTTGATTTGTTAATTGTAACAATAAGGACATCTTCACTTTTAACGTCATTTGCGCCCAAATTGTGAATTTCATCGCATAGTGTAGCCCCAAATAAACCAAAAACGGCTGCTACCTAGAAAAAAGCATTACAAGTCAAGCATATGCGTTAGTTTCTGACATGTTTGTACCTTGCACATGAGAAATCGTCTTTTCCCCAGTCCTGAAAATCGGCATAATATTTTTCATATCGAACTTTCAATTTAGATGGAATTAGAGACTTAAAAGCTTCGTTAGCACTTTCTCGTACGTTTTCAGGCAAATGTACAGTACCTACTCATTTTCTGATTAATCAGATGTAAAATTGGGTTTTGTTGTCTAAAACTAGGGGATTGTGCGCCCGCAACCGATAAACTTTTGAACAACCCGCTGATGTTATGGCAATCATAACAGCCTTAGATATCTTAAAATCCTCGCTACGCTCGGATTTTAACCTGACATCTGCGGCTGTTATGATAGTCATAACATACCTTGGTATGTTAATAGCTATAAGTATTTGTCCAACACATCACTAACTAATTAGCAAAACTTACAATGGTAATAGGATTGGCAATAAATTGACAAATTGACCCCTTATACCCGTGTACTGCTATCTGAATGTGAATTCCACTATAGGTACAAACATTTGTATTGCTGTGTAAACAACGTTCGTTAGGACGCTTTAATTTGGAATTGGGACATTAGAATGGACTTGGGTGTTTGATGTTTGATTATCACTCGATACTCGCATTCTTAGTGTGCTAATAGTCTACAGAACATCAACATACCTGCATAAAACTGCTGCAAAAGTTTGTACCTCCCCAACTCCTCATTCAAAAAGTTACACAAATCGTACTTAAACCGCTCATGAGCATCTCCAAAATCAGATATACTTTGTAACCTGTTCAATCTTTCAGCTTGATCTTCCTCGTCGCATTTTACGTGGCTTTAAAAGGCAGACATTTACAATGAAAGTTAATAACAGCATATACCTCAGTACTTTATCTCCCTCTCCTTTCATATAGTCGAGTAAATGCAAAGGAGGGAGGACTTTGTCAGGTGGCACTGGTTTCTCGTTGGTGCGGGTTTCTGAAGCGACAGACAGATTGGAAGCTTCGATAACGCGGTCAGTGGACTTAAGTTTTTCCGAAGACATGGTGGAGGAATAGCGTTCTTCGACAGTGCTATCCAAATGGTCCTCAGATGTTTGGGATCTTTGGAAAGGCAGGTAATGCGATTGTAGGTATTCATCTCTAAAGATAAACACCTTTATGTTATTATGGTTAAAATCATCCTAATATTTTGATTTTTGAAACCATATACGAATACAACCAACCTTAAGAGTTTTGATTTGAAGTAATGTTTTGGATCATCTCCGTACCATTTCTTTTTTATCTCAATCATTTCATTTTCTCTCCTATTGTCGATTTGGGCTGTCACCATATCACTGATTGTAGATATAACCTCTAATGTCCAAAACGGTGATATAGGAAGCAAAGTGGAACTTGTCTTTTTATCTGCGCTACTTAATGATCCGGCCGAATGTGATCTGTAAAAAGTGGTAATATATTTATTAATATTGCGTTTGCTTGCTCACCTTATCTTTTTGAGGGTATTAACGCTACTCGATTTACTAACGCGCGCGTACAATGATTCAATTGATCGTTTTGATTTAATTTCCTCTACAACTTCCCATTCGGTTCTCGTTAAGGGCCAAGAATTGCCAATGACAAATCCTTCGACCAAGTAAGTTGTATCTTTGTACCTCACTTCTTTTGGAGATTCCTGCGACTTACGAGATTCTTTAGAGGTTCGTTTACTTTCACTTAGTTTATCTATACTTCGAACACTTCTTCTGGACCCTTTTGAGTGCATAATAGTTGCACTACTTTTAGACCGAGATATTTTAGGGGAAACACTTACGTCCTCGGTTTCAATAACTGGAACGTACTTTAACATTACGTTAGGTAAAATAACGCTTTGATTTCCAACAATTTCCCCAAATATCTGTCCTAATTCATTTAAACATCGAAAGCGAACGATCACATTGTCGAGGTTTGCGGATAACCTTAGCGTAACGGAAACATCGTGATTGATGTTTATGATACTTCTACACATATAGTCATTCACGTTGGGAAGATAATTGTGCTTTAAAACAAAATTGTACAAAACGGCGTTAGGAATTAGAAGAGAGTAATCACTACTCATCCTAAGTGTGCTAAAATCAAGTTTCCATTTGCATTCGCTCTCATCTTCCGACCATCCGTAACACAATACTGTGTACCCATTCACATTTGGGCAGTATTCGTTTACTAGAACATTGTTAAAGTGCCTCACAATCTCTTTATTGTTGTCATTGTCAAAGACCCGTACCACATACTTGCGAAGATCACAGAAGAGGTTAATTTTGACAATAGCTTCCTTTAATCGAATGCAGTGGAAAACCTGACGCACAATTGCTACCCACGAGCTTCTGGAAACTCTGACTGATCCCATAAATTGTTGTAAATGTGTAGTACAATTTAAATCTTGAATAATACTGTAATACTGGTGCATATTGCTCATCTTTCCATTACCAAGCAGGAATTTCCGAATTAAATCGCAACAGTGAATCATTCTGTTGCTAACATTGAAAATGTCCGCGTATATTCTTTTTAAGCAGTCGAATACCTTTCGATACTCCCTATGTGATTCATTATGTATGCGTTTAAGATTTGAAATCATTTTTTGTCTGAAAAATGCTTGTATTTTCATCGCCGATGTGTTTTTCAATTTTTCTAATGCAATATCTTCAGTGTTACTGATTTCGTCGCCTTCACGTGGGAAATTATACTTGTGTTGATGCTCACAGCGTATATTAGGATTTAAAAACAATACCTTCAACGCAAAGAGTCGATCTTCAATTTCAGATTTTGGTGAACGATCCTGTACCATCTTCAGGAATGTTTCCATAAAACATTCATGAACAGTAATCAAAACCGTCTTCGGCAACAGACACTGTGGAGCGTACGATTTGTAAAACGAACGTAGCTTAGTTCCGAACTCGGGTCTACCAAATTCTTGAACCATTTGACCGTAGCTACTGGAAATTTGGTCACTCAATTGTAGGATTCTTTTAGTTTCGTGACTCATGTACTCCAATACAGATTCCAAAGAGCCACAAACTATTTCAGAATCTGACAGTAGATGAATAATGAATGAAGTGTCGCTTTTTACCCACATTCGAAAAACTCGACGACCAGGAGAGATACTGGCGATTGAAGACCTCGTTCCAAAGGTATTGACGGACACCAATATATCCCCTGCCTTCTCAGTTTGCCATTTGTAATCCTCTATAGTAAGATAAGCAAATGGGTTAAAGGCAATATCCATGTTTTCACTGCCACCGTCGGAAGTATCACTAGTGCGGAATAAAGCCCCTAAATTTCCAACTTGCGCAATATTTACGACAAGAAATTTGGAATCTAAATCGTCGCAAAATAAGTAGAGTGATTCGTTTCTAGATAAACTTATTGCGGACGTCCAAGGTATGAATTTTACACTGTTTCCTTCTGCTTCTTTGCTTTTTTTACCCTTATCAACCTTGGCCTTATCGGAATCTTTAAATAAGACATCCGATATTTTAGTAATGTTTTTAAAGCCGGACAATTTGAAATACACTGACAACTGGCTTAACTGTGGAGCCAATTTGTTGAAATCTATCCAGGCACATCCATCCGTTTGCTCGCCCCTGTGATGCTAAATTCCATTACCACGTTAACATAGCCATACGTACGATGTAGAATAATTGCATCCTTTTGATTTCCCCGTCTTCATAATATCCTCTATTACAGCAACGCTCTCTTTTATATCAAGGCTTCTCTTACTATGGGTACGTAAACCACCCGTGCATTTCCTGAAATCGGTCACAAGTTTCACACATTTAATTGGTTCCAGCTGAGGTGCAGGCCACAATCCCTTGCTGATAGCCCAAGCTAACCAACGAAATCGTTTCCATCGTTCAAGATCTATTTAAATTAATCAGTAAATCAAACCCATATTTCTGAAAAATACCTGGCAGCGGCTCAGGTTGTATTAGCGGTATGTCTCTTGTCTGATCTATGAGAAATTGGTGACTCCAACAGGGAGATAGATCAGGAACTGCATCTTCGTCGACATCCCTGAAATGTATTAATTGACTAAACGATTAGGTAGAGTACTACACGCACCTCATGTCCGAACATACTCCCAGAACGTGATACGAAGAGCATCTACTATCACCCTCGGATACACTGGGTGCAGACTTGGTGCTTTTAGAATCTGATTTATCTGACCAAGAGAAATGATCGGTGTATGCTGCGCACATATCCCAAACCTCATCCATATTCATACCTTCGAGTCATTTTATTGTCGCAATTTGAAGTATTATTATTTATGCAATACCTGATACATTTATTTTGTATGGAAACCACCCAGTTAAACAGTGAACAATGTCAAAATCTAACAATTCGTCATCTTCAGTTTGAATTTGAGATAAGTTAGCTAACTTGAGGAGAGCTTTGCATAGTATAAATGGCCATATCTGAATTTCAGTATTTGGTGAATCGCACTCGTGAAGTGCCGGAAAAAGTAATTCTTGAGAATGATTAATCGGTAGCATATCGTCAACCGTGATTTTCCTCCAGCATCCCATCCAGAATAATCGCACGATGTATTTTCCTAGAGAAACCGCTTCAATTTCTACATATAGTTAATGTTAGAAGTTACCCAGTTGGTTTACTTGTGGATTGTGCTTTTGTCCTTTGCCAGCCTTACACATGGAGTAAATATGGTGCCATGGTTTCCATGGAATTCCATCGGTAGTCGGTTGGTAGGTTGGCGTCACATATTCAATATGCGATGGACGATGCAATCCAAGATAGTTGAGAACACCAACCGCAGAAATGAAACTTCTCGTGAACTCACTGTGCAGTAAATGCTTATTTCCGTTGATCAAATCTGGGCAGTTTGATTCTTTACACATTGTAATCCGTGCCTAACATTTCAATAAAATGTAGGTAATACAACGCTAGGATTTGCTCACGTTTGGGAAAAAGTGATTTGGTCTGCACCACTGTGCACATGGAAGACTCTTGGGCATATGAATAACATGTGGATCGACGAATTGGGCAGTTTCCTCTAGTAGTGAATTCGGTTTGGGCTTTTCCTAAAAGTTAAGTTTGCGTAATATCTATATAAATACATGTTAACTTTGATTGGGCACAAGTCGACTAGCAAAAAGCAGCGGAAGAAAGAGAGAAGCTCATTACACCTTGATGTTAACATAGAGAGCGGACAATATACCTAACCTAAAAATAAGCAGATGAAAAATCCTTAGAGTAGAGTGCAGTCCATTGTCTTCTTGAGTGGAGTTTTATTTTCCCCAACTTGTTACAACTGGGACTTATCTGTAGAATCGGTTACCGACTGGAAACGTTTGGCACCAAGGTGTCAACCACTGATGTGATGAAGAGCGAATGAAATAACTCATTTGGTAGCTCAATACGTAAATATACCCGGCAGTTGTGTTCCATCCCACCGTTCACACACATTTTTAAATTGCTTTTCAGTTTTTACTCTGTACCTCTGTGCACATGAACAACTTCGCAGTAATAAACTTTTCAAAAGCTCGTGCAGACTTCAATTAGAAACACCGCTGATTAATAATTTTGTATCATATTTGGGTTCGCCTCGATTTAATCATAAAAGTTTGAAAAGGAGATGATGGGAATTTAATTTTTAGACGAGAAAATTACGTTTTCAATTATTGATGAATTAAGTAGGTCTTTAAAACTTCGCGTGAAATTTTTATTATGTGAAGTACCAAGCGTGCTAAGAGATACTGGTAAATTTTCAATGCTTAATTTATGAATGTGCTTGTGTATACTACTGTTTACGTATCAGTATATAACTGCTGCATTCTGAGTGTATGCAGGCAAGATGAGATAAATATCATCCGAAATTAGCAGTCACTTAAGTTTGAAGCAGTTACATAATTACCTTCGATTTTGGCACATCCCACTTTTCGAGATTAATTTCTTGATCAGACCATTCGGTAAAAGGTAAACTTGATGGATTTGTTGGGATAGGCACAGGTGTAACTTGCGGGGGATGTTCATAAACTGGTAGCGATGGTGCTTTCCCAGGACCAACTTTTGCGGTTTTACTTGACATTTTAATGACACATTCATCATGTGACGGATCCTTCGTACTTGATCCTTAGACCGTACATTAGGTACATGACTGCTATAAATGTATTCACTCACAACCATCTATATATATTTACAAGCCGTGCTGAGAATTATGGCAACACTGCAGGTAGGTCCGATTTCCGAATTCAACTTTGTAGATTTCAGGCGTGTAAGCATTTTTATTAATTAATTAATTAATCTCATTTTCCCAATATTTGAGGTTAGGAACGAGATTTTGAAAAACGGTTTTCACTGGACTCTTTGGATGTTATTTGGCTACTTTTTCATAAAGAAAAAGTCGTATCATTCCGTTTGATTTTTTTAGGATTTTGGGTCATAGTGTCAAAACTAGCCCCCTGGCGGAGAAGGATTCAACTAAATTGACTATATATTGTTAATTCTCATTGCCCAAGGAATGCTCTTTTCAATCATACCAAATTTGTTAAAGCGGTCAAACGGTTAAGAAGTTAAAGCAGGTTATTGCAAGAACATTGAACGCTCCACACCATCTTTACCCAATAATTTTTTTTACCCCTAAGTCATATGACGAACGGTTCTCGAGATATGGCCGAGGAACAGTCTTATTGGGTCACCCGGTACAAACTTCCGTCGAAAAATAAGCTTGAACCATAATAATGTATGTACTACGCGGCAAATACAAAAACATCCATAGAAAATGCATTAACGCATTACTATAAATTCGAATCTAAAACGAATTCGAAATAGTTGCTCTATGGTTAATTTGAGCCTATGTCGAAATCGTTATTTTAGTGAGTTGCCACAATATCTACCTATACTCTTCGATTTATGATGTTTTAGGTCATATTCATAGGATTTAATCTCGGATTTAATGTACAATTACACTATATTTAATAGCAGCAGCAAAAATACGAAACCTGGAGATTAAAAGTTAAACCTAATTTAGACTCGGCCCATTAAACAATTATGCTGCTAAGTGCTCTTTTAATATTCTTTAATTTTTAATTATATTTCCTTGTAGTAAAAGGTTTCGTCAATCCACTCTGACGTATCCAATAAATCAAAAATGCATTCAATTATTTTATTTGATTGTTCGAAATTATAACTGAACTTAACACATCTGATTTATAAATCATGAAACCAATCAAATTTAACTAAGGAAGTAATGTGTGTATAATTAACTATGCACGAAACAGGCTCGAAATTCTAATACGAAGTTAGTAAGTTCTTGTTAGCGAAGCTCCTGAAGGCGTTTAGCTGTGCAGAAGTTTACGATATACCTACCTACTTGTTATAGTCTTTAATAACCTCACGAAACTTATGTCGGGGCGTTTATGCTGGAAGAAATAGGTTACCATAAAAAATTGGAATCATGACGCTTCTCTGAAAGCGAAAGAAATGACCTCACGGTAACATCTTATATCATACAACAATGAAAAGAAATCTCATTGCGCTTAATGCATTGCTACAATACGGTAGATGTATAGCCACTTGCTCGAGCGAATCGATAGTTTTTGTTGTGTTCTTCTAAACTAAGAGGTACTTTTCTACACAAGTACAATTTACAGAACATCAACCTGACAAATAACAACTCGTGACATTTTTCAAATCAGATTTATGTTTCTTGCGTTTTTTTTTCTTTTTCAACTAAGTAAATCATTTTTTTTTAACTAAATTTATTTCAAGTGGTTGGTAAAAATACTTCGCAATATGGATGCTACATTGAATACACCTAAATCCAAAGTTTTTTCTTTAGAAAAACGGAAACGTTCCACTGCCAAAATACGAAATAAATTTGTGGTGCTAAATATGAAATCAATTTTGGCCACCAACAATAATTTCTGGTCAACAGCTTTGTACGAGTATAATTCCATTCCGAAGGGTGATTGATGAAATAAATTTAATACTTTATTTCTTAGTTTCTCGGGAACAATAATCCTATGAGAGGGTTGAAAGCTCCACTTCCAAAAAAAAAATTTTAAGCTCTACGGCACTGGTATACATTTTACTCTAACAATGAATTATTTTGTAATGAAGTTATTAAATCTACGACTAGCTCAGTAATAAATAGGCTATATGACTTTTACCTTGCGCGAAGTTGGTTCTTTATCTCCCCTTATAATCTGAAAATCAAAAGCTGATGCTCTGATTTGATCACTCTCAAATGAATCTACCTTGTGTGAATATATTGGTGAAAATAATGATCGTTCCAACCTTTCTTTACATTTTTCGTGATTTAAAAAATCATTCAACAAATACAAAATGAAAATTTCGATTCCTGTTTCGTGATCACGTTGCAATAATTTTTTTTAAATATTTGTAATTAATCTAATGCCTGGTACATTTTCCTATTCAAAAAACTTACACAACTTTAAATGGTGAATAAAATTTAACCCACACAAAAGAATGGTATTAATGCACTTGAAATTCCACTTTACAATTAATGAGAAAAAAATTACCAAACTTTTTTGTGTGGGTTCGCTTACCATTCATAGGAAGCATACAAATCTAATCACAGTCGATTTTCTCCTTTTGAAAGGTAGTTAGCATTTCGGAAAAACGTTTGCTCGCGTATTAAGAATGCAACACATTCGCACATGTTCAAAGTTAAAATAAAATCAGCCAACCTGTCGATTCCTTCATACAACGAGGTTTCTCTTTTGTACAAATACGCCACTTTACATTAGTTTTATTAGTAATGACAACTCGCAAAGGGTTTGAAAGTAATGCGGTTTTGAATTTACAAATTTGTAAGTACCGCTTCATAGTTATAGAGAACGAAGAGGGAGAGCCCTTCTCGGATAACTTTACGTGTATAAAAAAACCTTGAAATTTCAACTTTCGCAATAAAAATCTCAGGCACGATCCCGTTGCTGTTTAAGTTTAAAGCTTCTGTTTACCTGGATTATACGAATTCGTATTGAAACCTTCAGTTTAAAATAAATGTTAGGCAATCTAAAATGCCGTGCGCGACTTACATAGGTTCGTTTTAACGGCTCACCCAAGAATCTCTCTCTCCCACCCAATTTTTCCTAATATAGTAGCCAAGACCAAAAACCAAAACGGACCCGACGCAAACCAAGCGTCGCCCACGTTTTTTTATACACGTAAAGTTATCGCAGAAGGGCCGTCCCTCATGCTTCATAAGAACGATCTTTAGAACCGGCAACAGTCTGGGCTTTTAAGCCTAAAGCGACCACCTGTTACACAAAATAACAAATTTTTTTCTCCGCAAGTTCAGATTGATTATTGGTCTGTTATTAAGAAAAATTTTCGCCAAAGCGCATTTTTCTAACTGAGAATAGTTTTTTTTATGTTTCTGTAAGGGTATTTGATGCAAAATAAATAGGCTCAGCGTCTTCCTTGTGGCTTAATACACACCCTACTTCGTAACCACTTGCATCATATGTTACGTACAAATTGTTTTTAGAGTGAAATTATATCGTAAAAGAAGACGCTTACTGTATCCAAAAGCTGACTGGCATTTCTCAAACCAGCTAAAACCTACCTTTCTGTAGTAATTTATACAAAGGAAATAAATTTTCAGACTGTAACTGTTGTATTGAATTTGGATTAGGTGCATTTATGTTGGGCTCGGCTGGACCATGTGTTAGACCATATCTATTAGTTGAATGACCTAAGGTTTGTATTTACTTTTTAGCACACGCACGTTTGTAAGGGAGGTACCTAGTGCATTGGAGTAAAAAATGAATCCCTACTTTTTTGTTTTGAAGCAGCAGGATTCCGAATCAAACAAAATCTCAATGATGTCGGTCTGTCGATCCACCTTTACTCTCATACCCGGCCAAACGCCTAAACCGTTTGGAACCAAATTTGGTACAAATATTCATAGATATAAAAGGAAGAGCTGAAAAGATTTTGAGCAGAATCGTGCATGCGCAAGTGTGTCAAACTCTGATTTGCGACTAAACGGCTGAACCGATTGGAACCAAATTTGGGACACATATTCTTAGACATAAAAGGGCAGAATCGCACATTCGAAGGTGTGTGGGTGCCATTTGTGCTATCCACAACTAATTTTTAAAATCTACTTTTATTAAAATTGTTTCGGAAATTCGGAATAAGTCTTACCTACACACAGTACTGGATATTGGCGAAGGTAAGGAATCGCATTTTATATCACTAACATCATTTACAGTACCCTTATAATCAACACATCGAATGCCATTACCTTGGGATAACAAAATTACCCCGCAATCTAAATTTCCATAATTGTCTGTCACCGCTAGAGTTAGGGTCACAAAATTTTACCGCGCTCATTAAATTTCCGCAGGTGCCTTAGTCACCTCAAATCTCTCCTATAAGCTGCAAAAATTTCACCTCCGCTTGGAATTTTAGCAGTTGTTTTTAGTCACCGCGAATCTTTTATTTAAGGTTAAAAAATTTCAACCTGAGTTTTGAATTTTCGCGCTTGTTGGATCATCGTGAGAGGGTATTAATGTGTAATTAAGAACTATTTGTTATTAAAAAATGATCCGGGTCGAAGGACCATTTTTTAATGTGATTACACATTAATAGAATAAGGGTCCACACTTCTTTAAGTCATGTGGTAAAAATACACTAATTTTGTACTACACTCTTTATTTATTATAACCTCATATTATTTATAGTAACATCAAGGCTGTTTTCTACTTCTTGTGCACGTTTTTGTTACCGAAACCTAGTTATTTTGTTCCCTCCCCTATACACTTCCCCGAAGGGACATGCTAACAACTGCAGAGCACTGTATTGTTATCGATAACAAAACAAATTACAGTTAACCCAGAACTTTAGTGACATTTTCGGGTGAAATTCAGATTTTTTAAATATTATTAAAGTATAATACGTTTCCATTAGATTCAGTATGCCTTATTTAACGTTTGTCTTTAAATCATTTCTTGAAA